TGATGTAGTTTCCTTATTCACCAAAGTTCCTGTACCTGACACCATCGCAATCATTGAAGACTTGGTTCATCAAGGACTAAACACTGAGGTACCACCCCTGGTGAGACACTGCTTAACCAATACATACTTCACTTGGAATGGAACTTTCTACAAACAAACTGAGGGCACCCCAATGGGCTCTCCCCTATCTCCGGTTGTAGCCAACGTTTTCATGGATAAATTTGAGACTGACGCCATCCAGACTGCCACTCTACGCCCGACCAATGGCCACATGGTTGGCCGGCTCTAGACCAATTCCTTGATCACATCAATTCCATTCACCCAGCCATCAGATTCACCATGGAAGTTGAAAAAGATGGCAAGCTACCATTTTTGGATGTCCTAATAAAAAAGAGACCTGATGGTTCAATGAGCCACTCTGTCTACAGGAAAGCTACCCATACGGATGCTTATCTGAAACCGGATTCCCACCACCATCCATCACAGAAGAATTCTCTCATCAAGACTCTGTACCATAGAGCCCAATGCATATCTGACCAGGAACACATAGGCAGTGAACTCAAGCACGTACACTAAGCTGTTAAGGCTAATGGTTACTCCGACTATACAATCCGCACAGCTATCACTCAAACCATGAAGAAGGACCCTCTTGAGGAGCCTTTCAAAACCATCACTTTACCCTACATTGCGGCGATCACAAAAAAAGATCTCCAAAATCTTGAATGAACACAAGATCCAGGTCCGTTTCAACACATTACATAAAATCCGTGATCTGGTTCCGTCTGTAAAAGATGTGATTCTGGACATACAGTACCCTGGTGTCTACAAACTAAGTTGCCTCTGTGGTAGTAGTTACATTGGAGAAACCAAACGCCATGTCTCGGACCACATTCGTGAACAAAAAGCAGACCTTAAACACGGTAGGACCAACACCTCAGCCGTGGCAGATTATTGTTATAATTCAGTAGGCTCACATGACATTGACTTCTCCAAGACAGAGGTTCTTTGTAAGCCATCTGGCTACCATGAGAGATTCGTTCATGAGGCTATTCACATATACAAGCACAGAGACAATTTCAACCGAGAAGATGGATTCTGGCTTAGCAATCATTGGAAGAATTTGATAAACCATTTCAGGTCTTAATTGATTGTTCACGCTTAAGGTGGCTTTCAGACAACATACATTAATTTTTCGTCTCCCCCCTCCTCTTTTCAGAACATAGATGGACTCGTCCTTCTAAAAAAACTGCCAAATCGCTGCTCGTGGTGCAAACGTATTTTTTTAAAATAAACAAGTAAAAACAACGTTTGGAAATAAATAAATAAATACGGACTGCCACTTCTTTCAAATGTTTCTTGCCGTTGCTTTTCACACCTGATGATGACCGTTTGTGTTATGGTCAAAACATCGTGAGAATTTTTTTGTTTTACATATATTTTATTCTTTTATTGTTTCCCTTCAACGTGACTTTACCGAAAGAGCTAAGAATATAGGTCAAAACCGGTTCAGGGTTTCTACGCGTGAACAAATGCTGCTGGATAATATTGGTCTGGAAAGCCAAGAGGCGAACTGAATACAAAAACGTGCAATTTACATGTGGAGACGCAGAATGGACATCCGCTTATATTTGCTTTTAGCCACAATACTCAACGCATGCTTCACAGATCAGTCTGTGGACACATTGCTGCGTGCAACCCGCCGCCAGAGGAACGCCAGCTAATTACGCCGCTCCAATTTGAAAGGCTAATTGATGCTTGGTTTGTCTTTTCAATTCCAAAATTGTTATTGTCTGACTTAGTGCCATAAATAAGCACGTGGAAAATTAACAAACAAAAAACATAATTGAGAACCACTGTGCGAGTAATAGACTGAGCAAGGCTGCCAATCAACATTGATAATGAGGGCGGGCACGGATTGCTTAGCGACAAACTGAAGCAGAGTTTCTGCAAAAACTCAATTCGGCATGTAATGAATAGTGTGAATCATCAATGGTTTTGCCGAAAACTTATTTTTGCACTCAAATTGACATTCATGGCAACAATCCATGCAATGTGCATGCATTTACCATGTGAAAATGTTTTGGTCATGTTAAATCAATGCTGATGGAATGACTGATACTGTCCAAATGGAACAGACGAAATGAAGAGCAACACAAACCAGACAGCAAAAGTCAGACCAAAAAGTGATTCGCGAATCAAAAAATCACGCACACAAATTGCGACAATTCATAAACTCAGAGAGGATGGAGGTGATGAATCGTTCCATGCTCGATTAATATTCACAATGAATGAAAGCAAACCAATGTGCCTGAAGAAGAAAATGTTCAATCAGTGCATACAATTAGTTATGAAAATATGAACCAGCAACATAGACACTGACAAAGAAAACAGAACGACGAGTGAGGATATATCCTTGCAATTACACTGGAAGACAGAAAGTGAAGAGCATGGATTGAAGAACAATGGAAATCAATTTTACTGACCATTAACAACAGTAGGGGCACTCGGGTATAACATTGCTGAAATAAATCATGGCCAATGGACAAGACAGGTGATAGAATAGGGGCTAAAGGAGAGAATGTTTCCAGAATTACATCCGCCATGGGGATGGGACTACACGATCGGTTCACTTGCAGCAGCAAGACGGATTGTGGCATCGGGATAACAAGAGGGATTGCCACCACGTGGGGAGGCCTTCACCCAACAGTCGAGAGACAATGGCAGATGATGATCTCTGCACAGTGAGGTGTTTGACCATCTATCTGTATGTTTCTCTCGCCTTTGTTGATATGAGCTCAATTTTGAACGCACCGCTGTCGATACTTTGTCAGTGACATAGCGTCGTTAATCGCTCAAACTATGAAAACAAATACAGCGGACACTCCAAAAACATTGGACGACATTTAATAATGTTAATAAAAACAGTTTCGCCCTTGTTGGGCTTAGGAAGGTTTATTTGGTGAATATTCTCAGGCCAATCACAGTGAAGGCATGGATTAAGGTCTGGAGACTGGCGAGGCCACCCCAGGACCTTAATGTGCTTCTTCTTGAGCCACTCCTTTGTTGCCTTGGCCGTGTGTTTTGGGTCATTGTCATGCTGGAATACCCATCCACGACCCATTTTCAATGCCCTGGCTGAGGGAAGGAGGTTCTCACCCAAGATTTGACGGTACATGGCCCCGTCCATCGTCCCTTTGATGCGGTGAAGTTGTCCTGTCCCCTTAGCAGAAAAACACCCCCAAAGCATAATGTTTCCATCTCCATGTTTGACGATGGGGATGGTGTTCTTGGGGTCATAGGCAGCATTCCTCCTCCTCCAAACACGGCAAGTTGAGTTGATGCCAAAGAACTCTATTTTGGTCTCATCTGACCACAACACTTTCACCCAGTTGTCCTCTGAATCATTCAGATGTTCATTTGCAAACTTCAGACAGGCATGTATATGTGCTTTCTTGAGCAGGGGGACCTTGTGGGCGCTGCAGGATTTCAGTCCTTCACGGCGTAGTGTGTTACCAATTGTTTTCATGGTGATTATGCTCCCAGCTGCCTTGAGATCAGACAAGATCCTCCCGTGTCGTTCTGGACTGATTCCTCACCGTTCTCATGATCATTGCAACTCCACGAGGTGAGATCTTGCATGGAGCCCCAGGCCGAGGGAGATTGACAGTTCTTTTGTGTTTCCACCATTTGCGAATAATCGCACCAACTGTTGTCACCTTCTAACCAAGCTGCTTGGCAATGGTCTTGTAGCCCATTCCAGCCTTGTGTAGGTCTACAATCTTGTCCCTGACATCCTTGGAGAGCTCTTTGGTCTTGGCCATGGTGGAGAGTTTGGAATCTGATTGATTGATTGCTTCTGTGGACAGGTGCCTTTTATACAGGTAACAAGCTGAGATTAGGAGCACTCCCTTTAAGAGTGTGCTCCTAATCTCAGCTCGTTACCTGTATAAAAGGCACCCGGGAGCCAGAAGTCTTTCCGATTGAGAGGGGGTCAAATAATTATTTCCCTCATTAAAATGCAAATCAATTTATAATATTTTTTACATGCGTTTTTCTGGATTTTTGTTGTTGTTATTCTGTCTCTCACTGTTCAAATAAACCTACCATTAAAATTATAGACTGATCATTTCTTTGTCAGTGGGCAAACGTACAAAATCAGCAGGGGATCAAATACTTTTTTTCCCTCACTGTATGCTCACACTTCAGAGTGTGAACTGACATAAAAATACTGAAGTGACATTCCTAAAATTCTTAAGATTCAGCAGGGAATGCCTGAGGCTCAGAGATTCAAACCAGGAATTCTAAGTTTGAAGATTACAAAATTCCACTCATATATTAGGATTATGGTATATGTTTGCCTAAAGCCTATTCTTACATAAGTATGGAGTGGTTTTGATATGCCATCGATCATTGAAACATTCTTAGTTTCATTAGAATAGACCTGGTTTGTGAGTTTTCTGCAAAAATATGTAACCGCCACCAGCATCACATTGCCACCACCACTACCCAACACCATCACAGCCAATATACCATCACCATCAGTACGACCAAAATCATCACTGCTGTAAGAACCATCTTCATCAAAGCATCATTATACTCATCACTATCATCACCATATAACCATCATCACAATCCACCATCATCGACCTCATCTTCATCACCACCACCGCCACCTTCAACACTAGCATATCACCACCACCAAACTCAATGCTATCATATCACAAAAAAAACACCCTCATCACCTTCATCACCCCCAACACCATCATCAGGATCATAATGGTCTTCATCACCACTATCATTACCAACCTCAAGGTTCTCACACCACCACCACCACACTCAACTCTCACACAACAATAACAACAACAACAACAGCCGCCACTCGCCAATAAGTGGCGGCAACGTCAGCGCGGTGCTTGTGCCAGGCTCGGTCGGTTGCGCTTCAAGGCCACGTGAATCCGCGCAACAGAGACGCAGGTGTGCCGGGTTAACCTGCCCATTACCTTGTAGAGGAGTGGCAGCAGCTCGCCGAGGGCGAGGCGCGAGTGCACAAGCACGTCGTACACGGCGCACACCGCCAGGACCGTCACGCCCTGCTCCTTCCACAGCATGCTGCTCACGGCGCACAGCACACTGCAGCCCAGCCATGCCCAGCGCCACCACCTCCTCCTCCTGCGCAGGCTGCCGCCGCCGCCGCCGCCACCGCCGCCGCCGCCAACGAGCCCGCCGCCGGCGTGGTTCCCGTGGCTCCCGTGGGCGTTCCCGTTGGTGTGCCGCTCCCGGCAAGGGACCGCGCCGTCCTGAGTTCCGGCTTCGGTGACGGGGGAACGGTCACGGCAGCCCGTGGGGGGCAGTGGAACTCCGTTGGTTCGGTGGTGGCGCTGGTTGTTGTGGTGCTGCTGCTGGTGCTGGTGGTGCTGGTGGTGGTTGTGGTGGTCGTTGTGGTGATGGTGGTGTTCGCCGTCGGGCTGCGCGTCCCGGGCGCGGCAGTAGCGCGCGTAGGCCAGAAGCGAGAGCAGGAAGAAGAGGCCGGCGCCAACGTCGGCGCGGCCCACCACCCCGGCCACGGCCTCCGTGTGCACCGGGTGCACCGCGAACAGCAGGCCTGCAGGCGTACGCACACAGCCACAAAGGTCCCACCACAGTGTAGCCTTCAGCATATGTTCAGGGCGAATACTGTTAGCGAGCACCTATTGAGGCTGGCACGGCATACGAGGAGATTGGGGCGAACACCGTGAACTGGCTGCTTTTGTCTCCCCAATACCGATGTGTACACACACCACACCAGCTGCTCATTTAAGGCTGAGTCGATCATTTATAAGAACATTTCTCATTGATATTAGCCATGAGTGGGAATTGAACATGGGTCACCGGGTTCATAGTGTCATGCGCTACCCAGAGACATACAAATACAATCACTTAGGGATGGCATTGGCTGTGGTGTACATGTACAATCGTATTTTTTTTTATATATCAACACCCTCATTTTGTGATGGTGCCATGATGTAACGGTTAGCTCACTGCATATTCAACTCAAAGCCCAGCCACCTCTGAACCACATGAGGTATGCATTAAAGGATGAGTCGACCGAGAAGCGCTGCGTGAAAGGTTAAGATTCAACTTGCCACTGATATTATACATGGCCATGAATTGAAGCCAGGCTGCCAGGATTGTAATGCTGTGCAGAAATCACAGCACACACACACACTAGTCAGTTTCACTTAATACTTTAACTTTGAATAGATAAATATGAAGACTATTCTCCCCCACTGGGCAAGTCTTATTCGAGAATGGCAGCTATGTTACAAATACCTTTATCATGTTTGGATTCTCCCAGAGAAAATATAATTGGTTCATTTAAAATAAAGTGAAGCTGCTACGACCAGCTAAATGCAATAATAAATTAATATATTTATTAATTCTTTGAATTAACGATTAATAATAGGTATATATACATGGAGTTTGCACGTAATTTTAATACATGAATAATTTCCGTGCCCAAGGCTCAGAACGTGCTTGTAAAAAAGAAGTTAATGGTGATGATGTAATTGTTGTGGAGGGCAAATGCCCAACATACACCCCCATTTCAAAATTGCTGCTAATTTACCGATTGCAAGAAAAATACTGTATTTTTTAATATATATACAATAGCTTTCGCACTAACATTAAGCCTAGGAGATGCTTGCAGGCATACAGGACAATTCTCGCCAATACCAGAAAAAGTATCCTACAGGGCCATGATTACAATTGCTATAACAATACCAACACAAAGGTATTGCCTCGAAATAGTGGGATTACATTAAATGCATTGCATTAAGTTACATCAGAGTATTCCTTATTGCAGTATATACTTTTCTAAAAAGGGTGTATGTTCTTTATTTCATAAACGCTTGCAATAATTTGTACGAAATAATTGTATTAAATACATCCTGCATATAATATATCCACCTCCGGGTTCTCAATTGAACAAAGCATCCGATTCGTTAAATATTGTTTATTATTACATTACTTTTAATTTAAATGGAAATATCAATGAAGCACATTGGTTGATGGAAAAGTGTGTGGCTTGACAAAGAAAACGAGGGTTGACTTTTATAGAACCGAGTTGTTTTTCTAGACACAACAGTTGCTTTGAAGTGCAATGCACTTGGTCCATCAAAGTTCAGAGGCTTTAATCTTCACCCAGAAGAACTCTTAGTCTCGCTCCTCAAGCCACTCGTCAGAGCAAACTTCAATTTCACTGACGGTCACGGCACACGTGCCCATCCATCAGCATGGAAGGGGACTCCACGGTGCAATGTGGACATTTGGAGTTGAAGACAGCAGCAGCCTTCACATGGCCCACTCTGTCATGTGAGAAATCACGATGAATGCCATCATCAACCCGGCAACTGAACATCAATCGATGATCTCCAGGCCTCCAGAGCAACAACTCAATGTGGACATTTCAATGTGGCCTCAGTGTGATGGTCACAATGAAGATTCTACTCATTATACAAATCATCTATATATTGGAATTCAGCAGCAAATATATTTTTTATCTGTACATATAAAAGGGAAATTTGTGAATGTGTTGTCTGTTTAAAATGTTTGGCGTACTTCCTGACATGTAACAAACTTGACATTTGCCATGTGGGTACTTTCCAGACTGTACACCATGCAAAAATTATAAAAATACACTTTTGTATATATATTTTTTTTTGGGGGGGGGGGGGGGAATAATGCATATGTTTTGCACGGCACATCTCTGTCATGTGACCCGTGTGCGGAAGCCTAACGGAGTGTGCCTGCTGATGTCACCCCCCCCAACCCTCCGCGGGTAAAGTTCTTCGCGCAGCATTGGTTTATTATTTGAGTCGTTTACTGCCGTACGCACCCTGAAAGTTGTGTGTCTGCAGCAAGCACGTGTATGTGTACCTTTGGACGCGCGCGCGCGTGTGTGTGTGTGGGGGGAGCGGTAGTGTAGTGGTTAGCGCGCTGCGCTACAAACCCGGCCACCCGAATTCGAATCCCGCTCACGGTCACCACCGGTGACGATTATTTGAACCGGTCTTGGGCCTCCCCTAGGTCGACTCAGCCTCAAACGAGTCACTGGTGTGGTGTATGAACATCGCCACTGGGGAGACAAAGGCGGCCGGGCGTCGTGAATCCAAGTCCCGGGCGAGGCCGGGTAGTGAAGCTAGTAAAGATATATAATTTGGTCAACAACATGGATAAAACAAGAATATTATTATACGCATATTTTTGCAATAATTGAATTAGTTAGTGTTTAATCTGACTACGTAATGTGACTGCAAGTGCAGCAACAACCGCAACAACAACCGGAATGCCTACAGGGCAGTTTGCCCTGTAGGTAAAACAAGTAAAGGATTGTATAGGCACATGAACAAACACTACAATACAACTGTAACATCTTTGACAAGCATGTATTGTGGTGAAGGCTCTTCTTTGCAGTGGACAGGGATTTTCTAGAAATGGTAAATTAGTATACTGTATTAAGGTACCTAAAGCAATGCAAATTAGAGTATACATGAAGCAAACCATCGAACACAGATGGTCACTGCATCGCACGCTTTCAGATGCGACCGTCTGGAACGCTCTTCCTTCCAATATTAGGAAGGAACTGAAGCTATAAGCTTTTAATTGTAAATTGAAAACTCATTTCTCTATAAATGTTTTTTTTTGGTTTTTAGTCTGTTGTCCTTCCCAGCACCTCCGATAAGCACGGTTGGATACGTTGAAAAAAGTTCAACATACGTACATACATGTTTACCCTGTAGTAATAATGCTGGATGCATTATGTAATGTATTCTCGTGCACAGAGTTCTGAAGAAATATGGAGGCCTGAAGCCTAATGTCATTGTGAGGACACAACACCAGAGTGCAGTGTCACCCAGTCAGATGTGAAATATTCCAAACTGGTGGGCACAACGGGATGTTCACTCATCTGCATTTAATCAATTATTTCCAATGTGCCCCGTAAAATGGATCACATTAATGGAATTTCACGGCCGAGTGATACGTGGCATGTATATTAAGGGGAAGGGAACTGCTGCAATGGGACATTCAGTGCCTGATTGGTGTGCCATGCCATGCTTCGCCAAAACACACTGCACCAACAGTAATGTATGCACAAACAAGCCAATGACCAACACGACACGCTGTGGGTGTTGGCTGTTGCGGTGGCATTGGCGTCACCAATGTTACGAAGCCCCACCTTCCCAAGAGCAAGCAATGCTGCCAGCGGAGGAAGACGTGGACGCAGCAGTAAAGGACGAGGCAGAGATGGATTCTGTTGGGGAGTAACTGGCAGTTCCGTAAATACTGCAGTGTGGTCGCAATGTGTGGACATGAAGACAGTCGGGCACACGCAGGATACCCGATGATCACTGTCACATTCTCATCCTCCTCCGCGTGCGGTGGTGGATAGACATAGACAAGGGGCCTGTGCCAGAGCCTCGGTCATAAACAAACTGACATTATTTTAATCATAATAAATAATAAAGTTCACGGCACTCACTCACACAATTGCACATTTGTCACTGTATACCTGAATGCACGCGCACGCACACAGGGCTGTTCGTAGTAAAATTTGAATTTTCAGGGTTTGTTTTTATCCACTGCTGGATGAAGGCCTCCCAATGCTGTCGGTCGTGGGGCTTGTTTGGTCTTCATCACCCTGGACAATGTGGGTTGGTGAGGTTGGCAAAGTGCCTATTAAGGTCAGCATGATGCACAATGCTGTGCTGCGGCTATTCCCATGCTCGGCCACATTTGCTTCCGCAAATTTGATGCCGACACACTACATTAGGTACATTCAGGCTTAATCAACATAGCGGAGGCCCAGGCAGGGTTAATATGGAATGTTATTATTATGCATGGTTATGAATTAAGCCCTGATCCGCTTGGATTTTCCTATATTGATATCCGCACATTATCCTTTCAGGCTGAGTCGATTTAGAGGAGGCTCATGCCACGTTCATAAACCAATTTTCCATTGCTGTTGTGTTTGGCTAGAATTTGGATTCAGATCGGCAGGATCGTGGTGCTGTGAGCTAACCACATTGCCATTCGTGGCCCCATACACACGTACATATGTAAACAGACAGTCATGCATATACACCAAACAATGTTTTTTTTTAAATCACCAGTAAAAATTACAACAAGTATTTATGACAAATAGAAGTATAACAATTTGCTTACCATAGCTATCTTCATTTGTTTTTCAAAGTAATTTAAGTATTGTTTAACTGTGAGGCTGCAGAGTTCCATGCAGACCTAACCATTGCTCTTGGTCCCAGAATGTCTACTCTTTGCCAGCCGTACAAACTCACAAACTCGCAAATAGAGCTTAATTGTGTGAATTTAAAAAAATGTGTTTATCCTGGATATCCTGTGATACAACTTGCAGAGGGCTGCACACTGTTATTGCATGTTCTTGAGGCAGTTGTCAGGCTCATTTTGGGATCATTTATTTTCTAGGTGCAATGTAGAGTCAACATTCTCACAGGCACATTTTTATTACTTCAGCCACTCGGGAATAATGCACGATCTCCCCAGTTCTCACACAAGCGCACACACACACACACAATGCCCGTTAGCTTT